ACCTTCCTTCCGAGGAGTGGCTGGTGGGTTTGAACCGCCAGCCTTCTGGTTAGCAGTCAAGTGCTTTAGCCACTATGCTACCAGAGCTCCTACCCTAGTAAGGGTAGCTGTCTAAAAAAACACAAAGGAAAAGTTTTGTTTACAAAAAATCTGTAGAACAATTAAAAAATTATAATTGATTAATAAGCCATATACTACTATTCTTCCATTTACCAGACAAATAGGAGTAAGAGTTCACATTGAGGTATTAACTAAAATTTTAAAATTTTACTTTTTAAAGTACCAGATAAATTACAAAAAATTAAACAAAACTTAGTTTTGCCAATGTACAAATTACAGCATTCCATTTATCCTAGCAAGTGAAATGTAATCATTTAAGTGTCAAAATATTATTTTAACTAAAAATATTTTAGAAACATACATACATTTCCCACTCACAAGCTTTTCTTCAAAGCTGTTCAAATGATGTCATCAGAAAGGCTTTTTGTCTAATATAGTCCATAAATTTCTCTTTCTACCTCCTCATGTTTTTTTTTTTCATTTCATTTTTCTTTATAAAACTTTAGGAGCTCTGGTGTCGTAGTGCCTAAGGCATTTGACTGCTGACCAGAAGACTGGAGTTTCAAACCCACCAGCCACTCATCAGATGGAAGACTGGGCATACCAATCAAAGTATACTTCCTCGGAAACCCAAGGAGGGGTCGTTATAAGTCAGATCTGACTTGATGGCAGTGAGTGTATGAAACTTATCACTATCTGACGTGTAATTTATTTTCATGCTGCTTCCTCCATTTTATACCTAGTTTCTTCCAGTTGCTACTCATCCTAAAAATGAATAATTTGAATGAAAACAATGTAGTACCAAAAGCACACCTCCAAAACTCACTTACATAATTTACAATTTTCAAAAATGTACCAGATCTCAAAAGCAATATTAACATTACATTTCAGTTTTTTCATTAATGAATCATGATATCACTTTAAGTAGTATATTGTAATGTAGTAGTTTTCCAGAGATGACTAAAGTGTGTAGGTCCTAGAATGTTGGGTTTTCTAGACGTTTCTTTTGTTGTCACTATTATTGTTATTCAGTGAAAACAGCTTTCACATGCCCATGTACTTTATCGTGCCTCACAGCAGAGAGAGCAAACATGTGGCACACTGGTCTCTGATTTCTCCTTCCTATAATCAATGTAGGCACTGAAAACTTATCACTCTTTCCTGATCAGTCCAGATGCAGCCTAATGTTTACCTCAATATAGCTCTAGAAAACTGCCACTGATCAGAGTTAGCATGTGGAATAAAAATTAGTCCAGAAAAAAGATGATGGATGATGTTTGTGCATCTTTTGAACTCTACCGTCATCCCTCTTGACTCCTAGGTACCTAGTATCCAAAGGGTTTCTTCGCAATGTCCACTGCCCTTAACTCTGGTCCCCTCATCAGGCCACTGTTTAACAATTTCTCAGGTTTTTCTTTCTTTCCGGTCTGGTCTCCCAAATAAAAAAGTTAGTATTTTTAGTATGGCTGATTTAAATTAGTCAAACACAGACTTCACATAGTTCAGGGATTCATAACTTCCTTTTTCCCACACAGTGCCTGAGATGAGATTCATAACTATCAGTTGAAGTAATGGTTTCCTTTTAGGCCTCTAAATGGGCCTTTGCCTACCCCAAGATGCCTGTATTTCCAAGAGTTCTATCCTCATCCTACACATTCTCCTTGGAGAATTCATCTAATCCTGTGAGTGCAATCACAATATATAGATTTTTGCCGAACCACAATGCAAACCCAAATATTTTATGCTGAGGTCCAGACCCCATGTGGCCTATTATACATTATTACTTAGGCACCTCATGGATATATATCCAACATGCCATTCCCATTCCTCTAGTAACTTCTTCCTTCTCTTAAATGAGTGCTACTACTACTTGTCCAACTGCTCAAGCCAGACACCTGCATTATCTACACTGTGACTTATTTATCTCCCAAGTAGCCAGAATTCACCTACTTCTTTCAATCTTTACTAATAATGTCTAAGTTAACTTGCAATTTCTCACCAGATTACTGCCATGGATCCATATATGACTGTCTTGCTCCCTTCCAACCCATTTTTCACATTACCAACAATGAGATCCTGTGAAGGCTGATTATTTGCTTAAAAAATTTGAGGGCTTTTTAAAGCTTTCAGGATAAAGTTCAAACCTCTAAATATGAGAAAGTCTTCACCATCTGGTCTATTTTTTTTTCCTTTAAATTTTATTTTGTTGTTGAGAATATATGCAGTAAAACACACAATCCAGCAATTTCTACATGCAAAACTTAGTGCCATTGATCACATTCTTAAAGTTGTGCAACCATTCTCATCCTCCTTTTCTGAACTGTTCCTCCTTCATTAACAAAAACTCACTGCCCTCTAAGGTTCTCATCTAACTTTTCAAGTTGCTATTCTCATTATGATCCCACGTAGATAGTTTTTAAATAAAGCATAATGCTCAAGGCTGGCATTTTTTACTAGTTAGCTAAAGTACTGTTCAGTTTTAAGACTTCAGTGGCTATTTTAAAGATTATCTCAGGGCAATAGTTTCAGAGGTTCATCCATCCTCTATGGCTCCAGAAAGTCTAGAGTCCACATCTGGTTTAACTTTATTTCTTAAAGCTCATCTCTTGCTACTTTATCCCTTGCTGTTAAGCTCCAGTCATATAAAAACCTCACAACTCCAGAATGTCAAGCTGTTTTCTCTCTAAGCTTTTCAACCCAATCTTTTTCTTGTTGACACTCCTACCTTTGCCATGTTAACTCTTCCTCATACTTCTCAATTTAGGTCAGGTGTTATCTCTTCAAGGAAGCCTTTCCTAGCACCTCCATCCATCTCCGCACACCATAAACACTAAGTCTGGGTTAAGTATACTCTGCTTCCTTAGTACCCTGTGCAAGCTTATAACTGAAGTTTGATCTTATGGTAGAAATATATAAACTAGATTGTAGGTTTCTTGAGGGGAAAGTCTATGTCTTTTTATCTTTATTTCCGGTAAGTTTAGCATGGTAACTGACCAATAAACTCAACGTCGTTGAGTCGATCCAGACACTAAGTAGAACTGCCCCATAGGGTTTCCAAGGCCGTAAATCTTTAAGGAAGCAGACTGCCACATCTTCCTCTTGTGGACAGGCTGGTGGGATCAAACTGCTGACCATTTGGTTAGCAGCCAAATGCTTAACCACTGCACCACCAGGGCTCTTTTAAACTGACCCATTAAAAACAAAACAAAACAAAACAAAACAAAACCCAAACTCACTGCCGTCAAGTTGATTCCGATTCATAGCAACTCCCGTTGGGTTTCTAAGGCTGTAAAGCAGATATCTCATCTTTCTTCTGTGGAGCAGCTGGTGGGTTCCAACCACTGACCTTTTGTTTAGCAGCCAAATGGAATAACCATTACAACACCAGAGCTCCTTAACTGACCCATAGTAAACATTAAATAAATGTTGGTGTACTGAATAGGTTAATGAAGATGTGACTCTTTTTTCCTCTACAGAGTGAAGACATTAGATTTATGAAAATTATTTTCATATGCTTAGAGACTTTGTTAGAAAACGAAGACTACCTTAAATCTGACCGAGGGAAATTGGAGTGTTACTGAATTAACACAAAGGGATGACTGTGTTTTAGTTAGTGCTGAAAAATTCTACTTTCTTTATTCTACCCATTGCATTCTTCTTAATTGAGATAGACCATTATAAAGGTTAGCTCTGATGAGTTGTTACTCTAGAAATGGTGTGACATACCGTCTCTTTGCCTCTAGCATATTTTAGTTCCTCATTCCACAACTGCTGTTGTTCGGCCTGTAGGTCCTTGGTTAATTTATTAATGGTTTGCTGCAATTCATTTCTTTCATGATTTATTCTTTCAATATCTGCAACTGAGTACTTCTGGTTATCCACAATATTCTGTAGTGCAGTATTCTCCTGTTTTATTGTTTCACATTCTAGTTCTGAAATGAGACAAAAGTAAGTTTGTTCCGTTTCCTCAATCCCTGCAAATAAATTGATGCCATTATTTAAGAGTTCACTAGGGTGTCTAAATTTCTAAGTTATAAATATATATATTTTCTACCCCCTACTCCCTACTTTTTGGATGATTCTGTTTGATCCTACTCTGCTACTAACATGTTTGAAAAATGATATAATTAAAGTTTTATGCTAAACTTTTATATCCCTGTTGGCTCCTTACGAATTTTAGAAAGTGCCGGGTAAAAAAAAAAGTGGTTCCAAACATAATAATTACAATTAGGGATAGTCTATCTTTGTTAATATTCATTTCAGATGCTTTTAATACTCCTGCATGATTCTCTGTAATAAGTCAGACAAATCACAAATTTGTTTTTTACAAACATAAAAGTATTTATATTAAAATACCTCAGCTTATTCTTATTTTGCTGAGATTTTCAGAGCCTTCATGAGATATTAAGTAAACACTGTGGTTAGGCTCTTGCATTGTCTATTTACCAAAATCTGTCATGAAGAATGACTATATTATATGCTACAAATATATCCATGAATGTAGTAGAACATATATGGGACAAAATTACAAAATGTCTTACTCTTAACCAAACACTTTGAGGGAATGAGTTGCTGGGTATAGAGATTCAAGACCACAGTCTTGGGGGACAGTAAGGTCAATTGGCATAACACAGTCCACATAAAGACAATGTACTACATCCTACTTTGGTGAGTAGTGACTAAACCAAAACCAAACCAAACTCACGCCGTCGAGTCAGATCTGACACTAGCGACCCTTCCTTGGGTTTCCGAGGCAGTATCACTACAGAAGCAGATTGCCCAATCTTCCTTCTGAGGAGTGGCTGGTAGGTTTGAACTGCCAGCCTTCTGGTTACAGTCAAATGTCTTAGGCGCTACGCCACCAGAGCTCCTGAGAAGTGACTAGGGTCTTAAAAGCTTGTGAGTGCTTGGAAGGGGATCTATGTAGGAGATCCTTGATAGAGAGGGAGAACAATGTAGAACAAAACTCAAAATCATTTGGAGAAAAAAAAAAGGGGGGGGGGACCAGGTTTGCTGGTCCAATAGAGCCTGGTGGAACCACTGAGACTATGGCCCCTAGCTGCCCTCCAGGTCTGGAATTGAACCCACACCTGTGGTTTCCAGCCAAACAAAAGACAGGCATATGAGTTGAACATTTACCTCAGGTAGATACACTCCTTGGAGAGAACAATCATGGAAGAAAGAAGGGCTGCTTACGCACAGGGAGACAACTCAAGGGGCAGGAATGCATGAAGTGATGGACACTGGGAAGAGGTAACTATGGGGAGGAAGTGGGAGGGGAGCTGTTGCATTGTGGCAAACTGTGGTCAATGTCATGAGACAAAGTATATGTGAACTGGTGTATGGAAATTGAATTTGCTCTGTAAATCTTCACCCAAATCACAAAAAAAAAAAAAGCTTGTGAGTGGCTATCTAAAGTGCAACTATTGGTCTCTCCCTGTCTGGATCAAAGAAGAGTGAGGAAAATCAAAGATACAAGGAAACAATTAGTCCAAAGGGCTAATGAAGAAAATTAAACCTGGCCTCAATGACCCTGAGACCAGAACTAGATGGTGCATGCTTACCACTGCTGACTGCTCTGAAAGGGATAATAAGAGGTTCTAGATAGGGCAGGGGAGAATGTGGAACAAAACTCAAAATCATAAAAAAGATCAGGCTTACTGGTCTGATGGAAGACTGGTGGAACCCCCCAAGATTATTCCCCTTGGACACTCCTGAAACCAGGAACTGAACTTAACCCTCCTGACTCAACTGTCAAACAACAGACAGACCTATAAGGTGAACGAACAGTAGTATCAGGAAGGTATAGACTCATTAAAACAATCAAGTATATGAGATTAAGACATTAGTACCAGGGATAGAGCTAGGAAGGCGGGATGGGATGAGAAGGAAGGATGAAGGGAAGGGTTGTATACAGGGAGGAAGTGGGAAGAACGCTGTTACAGAGTGGGGATTTGCAGTAAATGTCACAAGACAAATGTGTATGGACTGTTGAATGGAAAACCAGTCTGGTCTGTAAACTTTCACCCAAATCACAATTAAGAAAAAAAAAAAAAGCCTATATTAAACGTGTGGAAACTGTTGAATGGAAAGCTAATTTGCTCTGTAAACTTTCACTCAAACTACACACATAAAAAGGCTGACTATATTGTACCAAGAGGGTATGGTCATACAAATAATAGCGATTATATGAACCAGTAGTTCTTTCACCAAATGAGATTCAGAAATTCTTTTTTTAGCATTTGTAATCCACAGTTGCTTACATTGCTTTTCTAGCTGATCAAGGCTTATCTTAACTCCTCTGTGGCATTTTGCAAGGAGCTCTTATGGCAGAGTGCCTAAGGCATTTGACTGCTAACCAGAAGGTAGGTGGTTCAAACCCACCAGACACCCCAATGGAAAGATGGAGCAATCTACTTCTGTAAAGATTTACTACTTTGGAAACCCAATGGGGGTCACTATGAATTGGAATCAACTCAATAGCAGTGGGTTTGGTTTGGATTTATTGGGTGGCATTTTGCAAACTGTGGAGACTGCTGAAACTAAGATGGAAACTAACAACATGAGTACTTAGAAATCTTGTAATGGAAGCCAAATAATTCATATCATTTATTCACTGTCTAGATCTATAAAAGCTAAATTAGTATAGATAAACTCTAACAGCTGAGAGTTACATGAAACATTAGCCTAATATCTACTATGGGGAATTATTATCAAATTTAATATATTTGGAATTATATAGAACAATGCTTACCAAACTTCTGTGAGTCATGGTTCACATAGAAGATGACAGTATTTTTACAGCAGGCTGGGGTGAATGTATGAGGATGCTCATGACTAAAGTGGCTAAGATAATCATACTGAGGTCTGGGAGAAGTGATATCCTGGCACTGTTATAACCTACTTGTACCACAAGAAATTATTCATTTCCAAATTGCAGTTTAAAATAAATTAATAATTGGTTTAAGTAAATTGTTTCCTTTTTTTTTTTTTTTAAAACTAGTTATAGTGATTTGGCTGACTCGATGGCACACAACAACAACAACAACAACAAC